CGATCCCGGAAGGAGCCGAAGCGGCGATGCGGGGGAAGAGGTGAGCGAGGGGCGGGCCGCGGGAGGATGGGGAAATGGGGCGCGCGCAAGGGGTGAGGGGTGGTGGTGCAGTGAGGTCACTGACTACGCCCTGGCCGACAGAGACGCTCTCGCCTCACCTCCCTCCGCGCAGCTTGCGCCCCGCCACCGCCCGCCCTGCGGACAGTCGTCTGCACTGCACCCCTCCGCCCTGGGAGCTCTTCCAGGACTGCGGAGAAGGGCGGGGCGGGGGGTATCGCTGCAGTCTGGCTGGGATGCTGCGCGCCCCGGCCGGAAAAACGCCCAGTCCCAAAGGGTGAGATCACCCGAGTGCGTCTCTTCTTCCTGCTCACTTTCCCGAGGAGGAGGCTGGCGCTGGGGACCCTAGTCACCCTACTTCGGTGGGGGCTGGGGTCAAGAAGACGCAGATGATTTGGGGCCCCGGGTTTGAAGAGGCGGTGAGAGGAAAAGGCCAAATCTGAATCAGAAAAAAATATTAAGTCGACTAATTTGCGGCATAAAGCTGTTATTCTGGAATTTGGAGAGTTAATTTCTTACATTCTTGGATATTATGGGGGAGGGAAACGGCAGCGGCAAAATAATAATTTCTTATATTCCTGCAGCAAAAGCTTTCTCACAGGTCGCCAGTAGAATAGGGCATATTCATCCTATTTCATAAACAAGACATTAAGGTTGCAAATGGAAGGTTCTGACTGCTGAAATGGAAATCCTAGCCCTTCAATTGCTAGCTGCCTGACCTGGGCCAAGAGACATAGCCTACATGAGCATTATGTAAGAGTGCCCATTTGTATAATAGGAAAATATCTCATCAAATTATTGCAAAGATTAAGAAATGAAAAGGTAACACGAAATACTTCGCATAGTGCCTAGTACACAAGGAAAGTTCCATTAATCGTGCCAGAAAGAACCTTAATGAATAGGAAAGGGAGGCATTTTGATGCGGGTGGCTGCTGGGGTGCAGACAGAGAAAAATAAGATTCTCAGAATTTCTGATCCTTAAAGTCCTAGCAGTTTAAGGGCCTGGCTCTCAACTCTGTAGCCAGAAGCCCTGGATTAGGAAGCGCTTTCCCTATCCCCATTCCGGTGACAGCTGGGCTGCAGCCATCAGGAGTAACACCCAGATCATTCCTGTGCAGTCAGGCAGAAGGGAAGCTCTGCAGCTCAGGAAGGCTTCAGCCTCCTGGTTACTAAGCAGCTCTCCTCTTTAAATAAATACAAAGTCATTGGGCACTGCACCAGAACCTGGGCCCAGACCTGGCCCTGAGCTTCCTGGTCCTCTGCAGTTTGGCTTCTTTCCCCATGCGCGGGACCTGCAATACGGTTTCTAAGCTGCCCTGGCTGTAGCCATGATACTGAGGAAAAATTTCCCTACCCACTCACTCCATTGGAGTGGTGAGAAAAGGAGTGGCCACACCCCAGAAGCTGCTTTAAAGAATCTGTGTAGGAAAAACGTAGGAGCTGAGAGGCATTTCCTGCAATCTTCTATGTAGAGAAAGCTGGGCTGGGCAGCTCCTCCCTGGGATTTGCATTTCTGGGAACAGCTGATGGTATCCGTGGCCTCTTCTCCAGCAGATTGCAGTAAAATGTTTAATCAGGTATTCAGCTCTGGGTACAAAATGGCTTACACAATTGTAGCTCCCTAAAATTTCCAAGAGCTTCTGCTCCAGCAAAGAAAGCACCTCGGGACTGAGGGGCAGGACCTATTAAAAAGGGAGGGTTTTTCTATTAAATCGCCCTGACTCCATAGTGAACTGGGGGTTTTGCTGCTTTTGCTGGATGCAAAACGAATTGGAGACCTAAGAGAGAGCTCTGTATTGATAGAGAAACTAAAATCTTATTTGATCCTTTGTCTGATCCGAGACATGG